TATTAAATGTGTTCGTTAATTTAAACCTGTGTAATCAATTGGACACCTGGTCACGACTTCTGACTCCTCCCCACTCATATTTTTAGCCCTCCTATTGCCATCCGACAACCGAGAGCGGGTCTTTCCGACCCGTGCAGATTAAGCGGTCATTAGGGTTCGACCCAGTGACCCCCTGCTACTCACACAAGATGATTCAAATAACTTTTTTATTGAAGCTAAAACAGAAATGAAAATGACTGTGGTTTATTTTGTATATGTAGTGATTTCTAAAAAGAACAAAGTAAATACAATTAAAGTTTTAAAATAAATTTGCTTATTTAGAATTAACTAGGACAATGGGCTCGTAGGAAAACATTTAAATTGTATTAAACTTCTATCAAAAATAGGATTAAATTAATCTGTACAGAGTAAAATATATTTTAATTGCCAATCACTATGGCATAGCATAATATTTTCTTATGCTACAACTTTATTTTAAATTTAAATCTGTATTATTAAGTTTAATATTGTTATAATGTTTATGGTAACTAAAATACCAAATGCAGTTGAAATTTTTTTTTATTTAAATGTTTTAAATTTAAATATTTTGTTATATTTATTTAGTAATTTGCTTTTAATCAATGATAAAAAGTCATGATAAAATGTGTATTTATATTATATATATAAAATGTAAAACACACACACACACATTGTATATATATATATATTGTAGATCAAAATGTACATAAGAAAATTCTGTTTGATGTATTATCCAAGTGGAGCATTGCCTATAGCAAGCAAATGTGTGTTTGCAATGCTATATTAATTAAAGAAATAGAGTCAGTAGAAGTTATACTCTGTATCCACTGAAACCAGTAGCAGTAGCATTAACCAAGACCAAAAGTTTTATCACTAAAGTAATATGTAATGTATTTGGCATAAAAAGGCAGATATGCAAGATGTGATGCAAGAAAATACAGTAGAACCTCGAAAACTCGGCTCTCGATAACCCGCCACTCCGGATAACTCGGCCACACCCTGGCAGGGCAAAAAAATCCTTAGTTAATTAATTTTCATTATAGACAGCTTTATAAAAGTATAAAAGCTCTCATAAAGTATTTTTCTGAGGTCTGTCTTATCAGGTAAATTACTGTACACAGTGTATTCATTAATTTTCATTTTCATGTAGTAAAGGCGCTATGCCTTCATAAAGGACGTACTTTTCCTTTGTTTAAGAGTATTTGGGCAGTTTATTCTCTGTTATATTCTCAAGTAAACAATACATACAAGTACAGTACATTATTTTCTGAGGAAACACTCGTACTTATTTTTTTAACCCCATTCCCGATAACCCGGCATTTTCACAAACTCGGCCACCCTTCGGTCCAGATTAGGCCGAGTTTTCGAGGTTCTACTGTACCTACATTCTTCTCTAACTGCACTCAACTAATACTCACACCTCAACACAAAATCCTTTAAAAATGCAACATTTTTATTCACTTTTCTAACGTTTTGGCCAGTTTGAATGGTCTTCCTTAGGAACAGAAAAATCGAATCATTCCAATTTCTATAACATTTGTTTTGGAACTTTTTAACTTTGAATTTTCTTATATGTCTGCTGCACAGACTCGTACATAAAGAATTACAATCTATATCGGTTACTTGTACCAATATATACATAAACTATACATACATATAATACCTGAATAAATAACTAAATAAATAAAATAAATAAGTAAATAAATACATAAATAAAATAAATAATGAAGAAGGCCATTCAAACTGGCTGAAAATGTTAGAAAAGTGAATAAAAAGGCTGCATGTTTAAAGGTTTTTGTGTTGAGGTGTGAGGCAAGTTTATATTTTACAAGTTACCCACAAATACATCATTTTTGCTGTTATGAAAGAAAATAATTAACTGTTGGAAAATGGTTTTCTTTCAGCTATAGTACTTGCAGGAAAATGCAACTTTTCCTTCTCAAATGAATATATAACATTAGAACAAATTATATTCTTTTGAAAGCATTTATGAATTGATATTGAGAAAAATTTGGAAGCTGGAGTAATCAACAATTAATTAAAATGGAAACAATTACTGTATTTTTCTGAGTATAGTGTGCACTTTTTTGCCCAGATTTATGAGAGGAAAATAAGGATGTGCATTATATGTGGGTAGTACTAATTCCATATTTTATATAAATGTTTTTAATTGTTTTATTTATGTTTATGAGTTAAAAAGTAACTGTAGAAATTGATAATGACAGTGATGAAGCATTCTTGGTCTTCTATGATGCATAATATTGTAAATTTGTTACCAGTACATAAAATTTCTTGTTTCAAAATATGTTAAAAAATAAATTTTAAAATTCCTTTATAATACAAAAAACAATTGTTTAAATATAAACAAATAAAAATTTGAATTAAAAAATTAAAATAAAAGATTTTTCCTGAAAGTTTGGGCCAAAATTGTGTGCACACATTATAATGGCAAAATACAATATTGGGAAGTTGGAAGTAATGAAGGACATAAGCAGGGGAGACCAAAGCTGAGATAGAGACAAGGTGGCAGAAGATTTGGGAGAGAGGAGATGGAGAAGAGAGGATGCCCTAATAGATAGAAGTGGAGAAGACAGATTAAAGATGGGAATGCTGACCCATATAAACATGGGAAAAAGAAGATTAATTAAATCTATAATGTATAAAGCAATGATATAAACAGTAGAGAAGATGGTATTATGGAACCCCAATTACATTTTAGTGAATTGTAAACAAGGTATCATAACTACACCCACATTTTTTGTGTGAAAAGTACCAGTAACTATTACACTAAATGTTCCTAATTGGATTTTTCGCTGGTGTAACTATAAGTATGGTTTTTGAAGGCTTTTGTACAAAAAGTCAGAAAGTAGGCTTACAGAAAATCAGGTGGTAATATGGAACCTTACTGTATACAGTAGAGCCTCGATTATCCAACCCCCAATTAACCGACCGTCCTAGTTGGCAAATTTCAAATGTCCGCTAGTGATGTGGCACTACAATATTTGGCTATGTCTTGGCTACTTTAATATTATTTTTACGTGTTTTAGCTGGCAACACTCATTCGACCATGAAAGGGAGCCAGTATTTAAACGAGGCTTAATTTTCTAATTTTTAACGATACAATAGCGACGATTATTATTTTAAAAAATTTTTGTTAGGCTTAACATCGATGAAAATTCAACGCGAAGTAGGTTAATAGCGATATACTAATATACTAANAGTCCGAAAGTAGGCTTAGAGAAAATCGGGTGGTAATATGGAACCTTACTGTATATTTTCAAAAAAATGCTTTAATGTAGCCAAAAACAAATAGGAAAGGACAAAAAATGTTAAATAATTACAAAATTATTTACTCCAATGTATTTTATCGCAAAAATGCTTTTATAATAGAAAAATATGACCTCCATCAATGATATATATTCCAGCAGCTCTTTTTTGATATTCTCAGAAAGAATTGACTTTCTACCTAGTGTCTTTTTCACAAATTGCTCTGGACAAATTGCACCAATGGGAGTTCGTATTTCACGCATCGCCATCTTGAACTTATGTCTGTCAAGACCAAAATTTAAAAAATGCAAACATCACACAGATTAATATGTACTCCTAAGTCTCTGAAACGGAATACATGCACCAGTGAACCTACAACTACACGATTTATATTTTAAAAATAATTAAATTCACTTAGCATTCAAAACTTGTGAATTTTGAAAAAAAAAAACAAATTTGCTGATTAAATATGGACAACCATTTAACTGAAGTAAAATGGGTTTTCCCTTGCTACGGATGTCTGCCTAGTTCAGTTCATCCACAATCCGCTACAGTTTGCCTTTATTACCAGTTCGAAATGGCGTGGTTCCATAATACCACCTTTTCCTCTATAATTTGCTATGCAACATTTCAGAAACAAAAAATGAATCATTCTGTTATTCAATGGTTGAGACTAGCATTACATAATGTTTTTGTAAACACTTTCCCTACCCCATTGAATACATTTTAATGATTACCTGCATGCTCACCCACCCATATCTGCATTAAATAATTTATGAACAGACTCTAAGGAATAAGATTTGCAGTAAGAAAACAGCAAAGAAGCTTAAGAACCTGAAATTGCAAATTATTCTGCATGGAGTGCAAAAATGGATTGAACATTTGAAAAAAAATGTATCACTCTAAATGGTGTTGAAAAATGAATGTTTATGACTAAAATAAAGAATTTTTAGTACTTTTTTTTAAAAAAATAGTTCTATTATTCTCTTTCCAAACTAATTTTATAAAAATGAAATCTTATTTATCAATCAATTCTTTTATTTTGTGTTATACTGAAATATTTGTTCAATTCTTATTGTGCATTATGATGTCTATTGGCTTGCCTAGTGATATGCCAGAATTTTATGGCAGTATTTTTTATATTGTTCATATAAATTATAACTTTTTATTCAATGATAAGGTTTATATTGGTTACAATATAATATTTTAAAATACTGTTTGATTAAAATAATACTCAATTTATGAAAATAAAATAGATAGATATTATTGTTTAATTACAGTTATAAGTAACAATAAAATAAGTTATAAATACTTTTTTAAGATTGGACATAAAATTTATAGAATACTAAGAGAAAGTAAGAAATTGTTATCTTTCATTCTCATTTAATGTAGAACTAAAGGAATGATATATTTTATTTTTATTTTCTTTCCTTAAATTGTAATTCATTAATATCTTAATTATCCTAATTCTGTGTGTAAATATTCTGGTTAATTTAGCATTATTTATAACTGTATTTGTACAGAAGTTTTAAACTTTTGGAATGCATCTTTCACATTTATTCATATTTGTTTATCTTAGAGTTTTTATGTATGAATAAATTTTTGAAATATCTTACTCATTAATTATAACTAACTAACTAACTAACTATAATTGCAATGTACAATTTTTTATTTGCAATATTTTATTAAACATATACATATATTTTTTCTTTCAGAAATAATATGTCTCAAATGACACGAGGTGGATCCTTGCCAGTTAGTTACTTACAGACTATGGTTCAACCTCATATGGTTGCTCAACAAACAGTTGATTTAGCATATCATCAACAATCTCAACAACAGCAGCAGCAACAACAACAGCAGCAGCAGCAGCAGCAGCAGCAACAACAACAACAACAGCAGCAACAGCAACAACAACAGCAGCAGCAACAACAGGGTAACAATAACAATAATAAGGTTGCATCTCCGCAAATTTACTTGAGCAATCCAGCAGGAATGATGTGGAATTACTTTAATTTTATGCCACAATATCAACAAACTGGTCATCAATTAATTGTACAGCCAACAACACACATGTCTCAATCTCAACCACCACAGAATTTTTGCATGATAAATGCAAGTGGACAACCAAATACGTCTCCTTTGGATTCAAATTATCTCTTAAATTTTCGTGGTTCTAATACTACAGCTAATGTTGTTGGTCACAATTCTACTGCAGCCTCAAATAATGTTGCATCTGTTTTATTTAGGGAGAGTATTGCAGAACAAATATCACAGTCTCCACTTAACCAGAATATGTCTTTAAAAAATTGGCAACAAGACAGTTCTTGTGGCCCTTTGAATGATCCTTCTCATTGTCCTCTGTCTACATTGGCAATACAAAATAATTCTCGTCACGGATCTAATCCTTCACAGGTAAAGTTTTTAATTTTTCAAAACTTTTTAATGATAAAATATTTAATTATAAACTATATTATTATTAATTTTTTTAAAGATGGTAACTAGAGCTGTTGGACAAACAGGCTTGCCTTCCCAACTACTTGGTCCCTCATCAATGAATCAAACTAATAATATTGCTGCAACATCATCATCGGCTTCTGATATGGGAACAAGTACCTACTCATTATTCAATTCACCTTGGCCATCTGGATTAACTGTTTCTCGAGCAAATAAAGAGAGTGAGTTAAAGTTTATTGTGATATATATAAAATTTTTCTGGTACTTGAATAATCACTTAATAAATTGATAGTTTGTACTTGTTATAAAGTATAATAAAGGAGAATGCAATAATATAAAAGAATTTTACTTTTTAGTGCAATAACAATACAGTAATGTTTTTTATTTTAACATTTGTGAAAGTTATACAAAAAGTAAAATTGCATCATAATGAAAAGAGTTACAGAAATTAATAATGTGAAGATTTTTAGTATAACATGTATAATTTAAATTCCAATAGAGGAAAATATCAAACATATTGAAATAAAATTTTGAGGTAACGTTTAAGAAATACTTACATTAAAATTAAAACAATGTAGATATTTCGAACTTTAAATCCTTTGAAATTTAATAACTTATTATTAAATTCACAAAGAACTTACCTGTTATTGTTTAAATTTTTATTTTATTAAGCTATTAATAAGATTAGTAGAGTCTGTCTGATGCCAAAAACTTTTGAGTTGCTATTTTTTATGGATTTGTTAATGGTAAATTGTTTTTTAATTCTCATGTTTTGTTTTCACATAAAGTTTATTTATTTTGAATATAAGGAGATTTATTTCTCAAAAATACTCAATAAATTAAGAAGTTTAAGATTTTCAGAAGGCTGTTTGTTATCTNTTCTAAACATTTAAAAAATTTTTATTTTTGTAAAAATTAATGTAATAAAAATTCTATGACTATCTTCCAAATGAGTTTGCCCATAGATGGTTTTTCCTATGGGATCTGTAATTTGGTAGTTATATTAAATACTGGGAATAAATTTTAATAGTTACAAGGCTTAGATTAGTAAATATGTAAATTATTTCAATTTATTTAAAACAACCAACACTAGTCCAATATTTTGGAATTTCAATTTTGAACAACTAACAAAATGTTTATTCAGTAGATCATCAAGGTTTCTGAATTTATAGAAATTATACTTTTAAAAAGACAAAACACAATTTAATGTAATGTAATTAGTTTTTAAAATAATACTGATATCATCATCCATTTTCTCCACATCTTGTGTGCTGATTGAACGGCTGAATAATGGACTGCTTCTATCTTCTGATCGTAGCAACGTCATGCATCAAACGTTAAGGTGAGAAGGGGGAAATAGTTATTTGTGATTTTGGTTTATAATATATAATGATAACTTGGAAAAATTGGAAAAAATAATAAAAATAAAAATGATTTGCATCAATTGCAGGGTATCTTTCTTTTTTAGGCCCTGAGAATGATTTTCTGTCTTTTTTATACTGAAATAACTTTTCTTTTATGGCTCTGCAAAAGTGTACATTGTTTTTGTCAACCACAAATATTTTATCAGCTGTGTGATTTCCAATTTCTTTGATGAACAATGTAACTTTTCTTTTGAATTCAGCATCATATGTAAACCATTTTTCCATTATTAGTGAGTATGGGTCATAAAAAAATTTTAAATTTGATTCTACGCAGCTGCTATCAAATAACAACGGGATTAAATCAGAAAAGTATGAACAGGGAATCACCTAATAAAATGCTATCAATGATCATAATTCTATGTGCGTAAAGCAAAGAAATGATTGTTGGGAGTGAAAAATCAGCAGAAATAAGAAGTTAAAATATTTGCTTTGAATTTAAGCTGCACTCTAATTTTACATCTTAAAAATTGTAATAAAAAGTGCAGCTAAATTTAAAATAATAAGGTAATATCAAATTTTTGACAAGACTATGTCCTGTTTATAAAATTGTACTGCCCAATGTTCTTACCAGCATAGAGGTATGAAGGAGTACATGTCGAGAGTTGATATTTGGCACAGAGTTTAGGTGCCCAAATCATTTTTGCATAAAAAAGTCCAGACTCGTAGGTGGTCAGGGGACCGAGAACCGAGTCAAAATAATACAAAATGGCGACCCTCTTCTACAAACAGGCAAAACAGCCACCTTACCTCACCGAAGTCAGGCAGGGGAGTGTACCACCCACAGTCATTCTAAGAAGTGAACTCTGACCTTAGGACTGAACACACAGTTTCTTCTATGTTAAATAAAATTTGTAATCTAATTTTGTAAATTTGGGAGTGCTTCAAATATGACGTTAAAACAGTTTTATGTCGTTACAAGTGGGTTTTTTTAACATTATCTAGTATAGTAAAATTGTAGGACCAATAAAAATTTGACGTTATATTAGGATTGTTGTTACATTTGATGACATTATAATCAGGGTTAAACTGTATATTGTTTGTGATAAATAAAAAAATAATTTTGGACGATATAATAGCCACGATTATTTTTTTTTAAAATGGAAACTTTTTGTTATGCATCGACAAAAATTCAACCCGGCTGATACGCAGCGGAGAGAAATTTTGAAATTAGATAGGTTAATTTCGTTGAAGATGCATCATGGATAATCTCGTGGTTGTGGCCGGCAAAGTTTGAACAATTGCACCCAAAAGCAGTGATATCAAAGAAGATAGGAGAATGAGAACGAGACCTGCCTTGAGCATCAAAGTGATTCCGTCTCCGAGACATAGTCTTGTCCCAAATACGATTTTGCCGTTTTACTTGTTTATAATTATTATTGAGGTTTATGTTTACAATATAGTATGTTAATTAACAAGGGACTTTTATACTATTTTTTANTATTAATGAACCAGATTGCTATTCTCGTATAATGAAACTGAAACTTCTCAGTGACAACACAAATAGTCATCAAAATTTTTAAATTGAAAAATTGAATTTATGAAAAAGTTTTATCATCAGTAAGAAAGAAAGAGAATGTGATTAGAAATCAAATTGTTATTTAGGATAATAAAATAAAAAGATTAATTGATACAGATAAAAGGATTAAAACACATTATATTCATTCTTGCTAATGGTAAATTATTTAATCAGTTCATTTTTATTAAGAAGAATTGTAAATAAAAATATTCATTTTATATTATTAAAATTCAAACAAGTGAGTAGTATCCTTAAAATTGTTTTAAAAATTTCATATGATTTTAAAGTTATAATAAATATAGATAATAGAATAACAATAAATTTTACATCTGAAAATATCAAAGAAATAATTTCAATATTGATTTAATAAAAGTTCAGTTAATTGGAGAAATAACAAAATTACATTTATCTTAAAACTATAAATGGTTTTTGTTCATTTTATTTAAAGTTTAGAAATTTCTGAATATTTGGGATCAAATTAGTCTTCCTTTTAAACATGATATTTCAAAAATAAAACTTCGTTCTTGTTGATAAAATACTTTTCAAATCAATTACAATTGTATTGATTTATATTTTTAATAAATACATTTGGAAACATTTTACTCATTCTTATAGAAACTAGACAAACTAGAAATATATGGACAACATCCAATTATGAAATTTAAATTTGTTAAAAAGAAATAAAACATAGCAGTTTTAATAATGATGATTGGAATAATTTCAAGTAGAAAATTGATAAATGCATTGAATTCTTGAATAAAAATGAAAAATTTGAAATTAGCACTTAAAGGAAAGAGCATGAAAATAGAAACAAAACTAGCATTATTAAATTTTCAAGGATGGATTTTATAAAGAAAAATACTGATTTTTGTAGCACTTGTTGATTTTTTTTCTCTTATTGAATTTTTGATATATTATGTCTAATTTTTCTTTCATTCCATTAAAAATAACTTTGAGAATTTGTAGTATTTCAATTAATTGTTCTTTTTATGGAAAATTCATTGAAGTGAATTTTTTGTTTAGTTTTTAATGTTGACTCGAGTGAGATCAGAAATGATTTTTTTAAATGGTTGTTTTATATTAAATTGAAGTGAGATTACAAGATTTTGGTCTATTATTTTTTGAGATGCAATATATAACCCATATTTCTTTATTTACAATTACTTTATCAGTAATTATATTCAAAGTTTGATAGGGAAAAAAGTAGCAAAATAGCCCAAAATCAGCTAAAAGGAAGGAAAACTCAGTACAGTGTTAACAGTTTTTATTGTCACTAGCACTTTCAATGAACTTATGTTCGTCATCAGGCAAACAAAAATTTAAAAATAGAATACAATGCTCTAACATGAGTGGAACACATTAAATTAAAATTAAAAACTGTTATGAGCTTCCTACAAACTACAATTATGCTTGATGTTATGATGTCATGCAGCACATGCATGTATATAGACCCATGTTAAAGATGTGATAGCAGATGTATATCACTATTTATCCATTTATATAGGGTAACCCATATGTTCGGTACGTTGAGCATGGGAATGTAGCATGGTTCCAAGGTTGTTGTGAGAAGAGATTCCCACCACATAAACATGAGTTTCTGGTCTATATAGCATCTGAGTTGCTTTGTTTGAGCCCATAACGAGTTGTAGTTTTGTTTGAGCTCCTTTTTTGCAAACTCTGTGGTTCTGTACTCAGTGAGTTTTCTTTTCTTTTATCTGATATTTGGCATGAGGATCAAGCTGTATTATGCCAAAATCAGCATTTGTAATCTATAAAATTTATCCTTAAAAATTTAATATAAGTTTTATTTTTATTTCCATACATTTTTTTCCTTTTGTATTAATTTTAAATTATCCATCTTATTCAAGAATTCAATGTATTTATCTTTTAATTTTTTTACTAAATCTGCCTGGAAGAAATACTTGAAGTTATTTCCATTCATCACCATTAAAAGAAATTTAAAATTACAGCAGTTTTAACAAATTTAAATTTTATTATTGGATATTATCCATGTATTTCTAGTTCATCTGGTTTTTATTGAAGTCAGTGAAAACTTTACAATAGCATTGATATTTTTCAAGGCCTTTGTTTATTTAGATTGTAAAATCATTAACATGATGCATTACCAATTATTACACTCTTACATACAATGAAACTAGTATATTTTAATAATTCTTTTTGATCAATTCTTCAGAAAATTCTCTATTTAAAATATTTAAGTATCAATCAGTTTATCTTTATTTCATTATAATGAAAATAAATTCATGCTATAAAAGTAAAG